GAAAATCCATACTTGCATTTAAGGGAATTTGAAGAGGTTAACAATAATGAGGCGCGCAGTTAAGTTTCTTATATTTATAGATGTTTAGATAAAAAATCATAAAAAATAAAAATTGACAATTTAAATTACGTACTTGTAGCTGTGCCAACCAATTACCCACTTCTTCGTGGCCTTCAATGGTTAATCGTTGCAAAGGCAATTGAGCATCAAAATTCCTTGGACCTAAAAAGCTGTAATTTGATCTGAGCCAAAGAGACAATTTTCTTAGTTGAGGGACTGGGAAGACATATTCCAGTTTATCACACTTTTCTATAATGATATTTTTTAATTGTAACTTACCTATTCATTATAAAAATAAATATATAAATAGAAACCTAAAAGAAATTGGCTGAAACAATAGAGTCCAGGAGAGGAAATATTGTGAATTCACATAGTGTTTACCTTTTCTTTTTAGGTTCAGTGATCTTTGATGATAAATTGATTAAGATTTGAGATGGTTAATATATTTTTGATTTTCTTTTTTATAGTTATCTTACTCTCAATAAAACATCATAATATGAGAACAATGCTCAATCTCATAAAAAATAAATAAATTATTGTTTGTAAGAAATTGAAAATGAAAAGATCAAAATTGAAACAAATAAAAAATCAATTTTTTTTAAATAATATGGTGTCAACTTTGCCTTTTTTTTTTTTTACTTTTGATCATCTATTTTTTTTTTTTAAATTAATCTTTCAATATTGTGTTAATTAGAATTTAAAGTTAATTTTATATGAGCATCTAGAACTAAATAAAAAGCCGCACCATTGGTTTGGTGCTCAATTATGAAAAATAAATCGATAATATTATTTGAGAAAAAATAAAAATTGAAACATGAAAAAAAATTAAAAAAGGATGCCTTAAAAAGACAAATTGTGTCAACTCCTCCATGCCTTGTAATTTTGATAAATCTTCTTTTTGGTAATGAAACTTTTTGATACAAAACTTTATTTTAGTTGTATTTTAATTCCTGAGGTTGAGAAAAAAAAAGAGAAATTCATCAAAAAATTACAAAGAAAAGAGAAAATTAGCGAAAGCCAGCAAGGTATCTGCTCGAAAAAACCATTCAACATAAGATTGCTCTGCTAGGAAAACATGATATCAGTATCACACTTTTGAACAAAGAGTTCAGCATCAAGTCTCAGTCATCTTGAGATTTGAATGCCCAAACATATTCAGATGCCCATAAAATAACATTTTTAATAATGCATTATGCATTAGAAACAACATCAAACAAAGAGTTCAGCATCAAGCAAACATCCGCCCTTACTTCTAGAGGCTTGTACGATAATGGGCAAGCAACAATATAGTCTCAGTCAGCTGGAGATTTGAATGCCCAAACATATTCAGATGCCCATAAAATAACATTTTTAATAATGCATTATGCATTAGAAACAACATCAAACAAAGAGTTCAGCATCAAGCAAACATCCGCAGATATAAGACTTCTTCAGCAAACACATAGATAAGTCGAAATCTTCTATGGTAAATAAGACTGTTACAATGTGAAGCCAATTTGTATCCCATTGCCAATGAAACAGTTGGAATTAATTACTTCCCACCAATCTAGAACATATTCGCAGCACCAACCTTGAAATCATGTAACAGCTAACCACCCTTGCCTGATGCAAACATGAAGAACAAAGACCATCCATGATTTAATTCAACCATTAAAATTTGAGGGTATAGGAGAGGATAAATAATTGCAGCTATATCACCTGGTTTGGGCAAGAAAGAATTATTAGACTAGCAATTAATTATTAGACTAGCAATCATCATCATCACCATATTCCTCTTCCTCTTCCTCTTCTGACCCACGAGAGAATACAAATCCAGACGAGCAAGATTTTGGAGGCTGACATGTCTGGTGGGCCCCTTCCATATGCATTTCAGCTCAGGTAACCGGCGCAGCTCTAACGTTGTTAAAGATGACAGCAGCGGCATCTCCTTCTCCTCACTGCTTCCTTCACCAGGCAGGTCACCTAATTCAAATACCTCTTCCAATGATTTGCAGTCCTTAATTTCCACCATCCTTAGATTGTTCAGATCTGGCAGCAATTTTGCTGGAAACGGAGCGCGAATATCCCCACAATCCTCCACGAGTACAAATTTTAATCTTTGCAAGGAGCCGTTTTGCTGCCCATGGGCGGCCATCTGCTGAACGAACAATATTATATTTTTTCACTCTCATAAAAACAATTTATATGATGTATAAATAGGAGAAAGAAATAGCCAACAACAGGATTAAATGCTTTTTAGAGATTACATATTATTGTTTTAGTTTTTTTCTTAATTAGAGATAAGTTGAGTAACAATTAAATACAACTCCAAATAATTAGTTTCATGTAAAAAATAAAAATACTAAGTAAGATTTTTATTTTAGTTAATAAATGTTTAAAGGTATTTTAATTGACTTCAAAATTTTCAACACAAAATTTATGCTCTTATATATTAATAATATTTTTTGTGAAGTTACTTGATGTACTTTGGTCTAATTTTATTCTGTGCAAAGTTGTTTTAGTGGACAAACTTGACTAATTTTTATCAACCCTCGTAGTATATACACCTCGTGTCAGGCATAGATTACCTCCAAAGTACCCTTCCATATACACCTCGTGTCAGGCAGAGACTGCAAGCATAATGTTTCCAAATTTGTCAACCCCTGCATCAAAAGATATTTGTTAGATATAATTCCTAACAAATGTTGTGCACTTCGGAAGTGTCCATATGATTCCATATACACCTCGTGTCAGGCAGAGAGTCCAAGCATAATATTTTCAACTTTGTCAACCCCTGCATCAAAAGAAATTTGTTAGATATAATTCCTCACAAATTTTGTGCACTTTGGAATTGTCCATATAAAACTTCAGCCAAAAACTTATCAACAAAGGGATACAAGTAGACATGGCAATAGGGCATGGGAATATGAAATCAGAAGAGCCTCAATTTCACTCAAACTTGGAAAGCGTAAACATCGAAAAATCTTGATATCTTTTCATTACAATAATTAATTTCATCAAGAGACAGGGAATGATACAGTTAGACAACTCCTTTTAAATTTAGTGGATGGCTAAATGATTTATCAATTACTCCAGTTTCAGAAATTTAAAGGAAGAAATCAACATGTATTGAAGTTGACAATTTAAATTAAAAAGGAACAAAAATTATTGGAGAAATATAAAGGACGTACTTGGAGCTGTGCACTCAAACTTCCCACTTCTTTGTGGCCATTGACTTTTAGAATTTGCAAAGAAGGCAATTGTGCAGCAAGATTCTTGGGACCAAAAAAGCTGTAATTTGATCTGGAAGAAAGATCCAATTCACTTAGTCGAGGGAACTTGATGATGCCATCTGTGGTGAGTGCATCTCCTTCTACACTGTAAAATATATGCTTTAAATTATGAGCTTTAAGAATCCGCATCTCTTCCAGGTTAAGAAGGCTTGGAGACACAGATACAGGGAAGACATATTCCAGTTTACCACACTTTTCTATGGTGATATTTTCTAATTGTGGGAAGCAAGGAGACTCTGTAATTATTTCCCTTTCACCATCCTCTTCTCTGATAATATGCTTCAACTCACCGCAATCGCTTATGTCAAGGGTTTCCAGCTTTGGCAGACTTCGAGCGAGGGACGGTGTGAAGATAAATGTCAGTTTGTCGAGAGAATCCAAATCCAGACGAGCAAGATTTTGGAGGCTGACATGTCTGGTGGGCCCCTTCCATATGCATTTCAGCTCAGGTAACCGGCGCAGCTCTATCTTTGTTAAAGATGACTGCAGCGGCATCTCCTCCCTGCATCCTTCATCGGCCTCACCCAATTCAAATACCTCTTCCAATGATTTGCAGTCGTTAATTTTCACCTTCCTTAGATTGTTCAAAGCTCGCAGCAATTTTGCTGGAAACGGAGCGCGAACATCCCCACAATTCGACAACCGTACAGATTCTAATCTTTGTAAGAAGCCGTTTTGCTGTCCATGGACGGCCATCTTATCAGAGAACAATATTATACTTTTTCACTCTCATAAAAGCAATTTATATGATGTATAAATAGGAGAAAGAAACAGAAAAAAACAGGATTAAATACTTCTTAGAAACTCCTAATTATTAGTTTCATGTAAAATATAAAAATAAAAATTGTAACTAATATTTTTATTTTAGTTATAAAGTTAATAAATTTTTCAAGATTTTAATTGAATTAAATATTTGAACACGCAAGTTATGCTCTTATTTATTAAATCTAACAGATAATATGATTTCTATGATTCATTTTTTGTATTAATAACGCAAACAACTAAGTTTGTTACATAATTAAAAAACAAAATCAAACTTGGATTTCTTACTTTACTTTTAGAAATTGGGAGGAAGAAAGAATAAATTATCGAAATTGACAAATTAATTTAGTGGAGAAATATAAATTACGTACTTGTAGCTGTGCCAACCAATTACCCACTTCTTCGTGGCCTTCAATGGTTAATTTTCGCAAAGGCAATTGAGCATCAAAATTCCTTGGACCTAAAAAGCTGTAATTTGATCGGAGCCGAAGAGACAATTTTCTTAGCTGAGGGAACTTGACGATGCCATCTTGCTGGAAACAGAGTGGAAACATCCGCACAGTCCCTCACTTCTACAGATTCTAATTTACGTAAAAACAATTGCTCAAATATCTTCGCATTTAAGGATGTACCAAATAAAATTAAGGTGGTTGGGTATCGATCCCTAAACATTGTATAATATTCTTTAGCATTCGCTAATATTATACCATATTTGCGCAAGCTATCTGGAAAAACAAAATCTCTAGAAATGAATTAAACCTTCGGTATCCTCAATGATAATACGGCTCACTGAGACAACGAATTTAGTTCTGTTAGGCTTGCATTCATTCCTCCTGTGCTGTCACATCCAACAACATCCCATCCATCAAAGCTGCGACCCCCGATCAACAGCTCTTCTAACTTCTTCAACCTTCCAATCAAATTCACAGGGATCCTTCTTAGCCTTTCACAACCTCTAACATCCAACAACCTTAACTCCTTGAGCTCTCCTATTTCATCAGGTAATTCTTCAATGGATGAGCACCCCATAAGACCAAGAATCTTAAGTCTCTGCAGCTTTCTCAACCAAATGAGGTCCTTGCATTCGCACTCCATCAACTCCAACGATTGAAGTTTCGTTGAGAGTTCGAGTGATTGCAATGACAAACAACCTCCCTCCAGAGACAAAACTTCAATTTCTTTCATCCCTTCAAAGAACCTCTCTGGAACATTCATACCATCATCCACTTCTAATAATAGAACTTTCAGCTGTGGACATCCCAATCTTTCAGGAAGTTCTTCTAGTTTATTGCCCATTAACGAAATTGTTTTACAACCTTCAAAGCTTGTATTGCTCATTGGCCACTTCTTCAACCCAATGCCAGCCTTTACCATGAATCCATATTCTTCTGATGATGCTATCTGAATAGCAAAGTCACGAACCAAGTCATGCATTCTCACATGTTCTTCAGTTTCAGAGCCCAACAGCATGCAACAATCTTTGAGGTTTTCGATTGCCACAGAAACTCGTTTCCTTGCATCTTCGATGGGCTCCGCATCTTGATGTAACCCATAGCCAACTGCATATCTCGTCAAGTCCTCGATTGGAATGTCATAATCTTCTGGAAATAAACAGCATAGCACGAAACATGACTTCGTTTCCCGGAGCTTCAAATAATCATAGCTCAACTTAAGACATGTATAAGCATTTCTTTGATCATCATTTTGTTCCATGCGCGGAAATTGAGAGTTTTTGAGCTGTCTACACGCTGAATCCCACTGAACTAGAGATTTATCTCTTAGAGCACTTCCCACTGTCACAAGTGCTATAGGCAAGCCATGGCATTCTCTCGCAACCTCCCCTGCCACTGTGGTCAAGGTAGAGTCCCCATCACGTAAACCTGCATTGATTCTGAATAAATCCCATGCTTCATCTTCAGGTAAGACTCTTAAAAGCACTTTTTGCTGGCACCCCATAGAAGAACATATGCCTTGAACACGTGTTGTTAGAAGTATTTTACAACCCCTGTGATCATCACCAAATGGGATCCCTATCTCTTTCAAGTCAATATTTTTCCAAACATCATCCAGGATAATAAGCATCTTCTCCACTTGCTTCAGTCTCTGCCATAATCGATCTGCTCTCCCTTCTTTACTCTTTTCTCTAATATCCAGACCTAACATATCTGCCAGTCGATCCTGGATGCCTGTGACCTTTGGATTCTGCGACACCGTAGCCATCAAAACTTCAGGAAAAAGCTGCAACTCTTTGGCTATCCTGCCTACTTCTTTCACCAGGGTGGTTTTACCCACCCCTCCCATGCCGCGCAGTCCGATCATATTGACTTTGTCATCTTTGAGAGCATCCATAATCTTTGAGAGCATCCATAATCTTTTGCAAAGCTTCTTCTGACGATTCTGAGCGCGTGAATTCCTTTGATAGGAGAAATTCTATGGGCTGAGGATGAGCTCTGTCGGACACTTTTGTAAACTTTGTGCTATTTTCTAGAAGTTTTCTGAAAGTCTCCGACTTCTTGGCCAGTGCCTTGCTTAACTTGAATTGTCGCATGCAGTTTGGGCACCAAGTAAAGCATTTGCCATTTCTTCCTATTTCATTTTCCAAGGGCTTCGCACCTTCAATTTCGTTGTTTGCATCTTCCATCCACTTTTTGACACCTTTCTTAATTTCTTCAGCATTCCTTTCAGCAGCTTCGACTTCTTTTTGCAGACCATCTAGTGCTAAAGCAAGGTTCTCCTTTTGTTCCTTGAATTCTTCAACAAAATTGTTGAAACAGAACATGTAACGGAACTGCCTTCCTACTGGTTCCACCATGAGTTCTGCTATCTTAGATATAATGGATCCACCCACACTTTCGATAGCCATTTTCCTCTCTGAAAATCAGAGAAATGAGGATACAGGACGTGAGGGTGAGTCACTACAAGTAAAACAGGCGCAGAGAGAATGGGAATAGGAATTCCATTACCTTAACTTGGGAAAATATGAGCGGAAAGCACTGGTACTGAGAGCTCAATGAAATAGCAGGAGGAAGAAAAGGAGAAGGCCTTTACTCTGTACCGGAACCCAGCTTCAAAAGCAACAAGGCAAGGTATAAGGATTCTAACTGACTTGTGAGTTAAAGCAGCAATTCCCATTAAAAATGCATTTTGATGATATAATTAAGATCATATAGAGACAGTGACGAAATTATAATAATTAAAATAATGAATAAAAGTAATCACCTAGCAAAGAAAGAAACGAGTGAAAGGAACCATCTAGGTGGTGGCCAAGTGGTAAGAGCTTGGAATCAAGGAGTTTGTTCCCTCTGTGGTCTCAGGTTCGAATCCTTGGTTGCTTATATGATGGCCACTGGAGGCTTACATGGTCGTTAACTTCAGGGCCCGTGGGATTAGTCGTGGTGCGCGCAAGCTGGCCCGGACACCCACGTTAATAAAAAAAAAAAACGAGTGAAAGGTTTAATTAATCACTTAGCTCGCTTCCAACAACAAATATAATTAATTAATCTAAGCTATGATCGGTCAAAGTCAATTTTAGTTTTATTGTTGTTTTTTTTTTAAAAAAAAAACAGATCAATAAATGAAAACACTTGCAAAGAAATAGAATTACTGGAATGAACACAATAAAGGATGAAAGTCAAGCAATTAAAAATAATCTATGATGTTCGTCTCTGTGTCACGCTCAATGATGTATTATGATTGACCTTTTACAATATTAAATAAATAAATAAAAGCTAAAAAAAGGCATCCAGAGTGCGGTTACTTTCTTCATCCTTCTTTTGTGGTTTTATTTTATTTCAGTCCTTCAAATCTTTTTCTTTTGCTATTTCATCGAGTTGCTTTGCTCTTGAGTTGATATGCTTGCCCTAGAATATGCATCATGCTAGGGATTACAATTACATTACATAGATTATAATTAAAAATTTCAGTTTTTTTCTTAAGAAACAAATTTAGGAGAAAGTACCAATATTACAACGTGAGTAAATGAAGGGAGAATTTTAAATCTTTTTGTGACATGGTGACCAGCTGATCCAAGTAACCAATGGATTATCGCCACTAGTTCGATCTGATCAACAGGGGTAGTCATAGCTATGACTCGTTTACTCTACGAAAAATAATTTTTTAAAAAAATAAATTTTAAATTTTCTTATATTTATTTACTATTAATAAAATTAGTTAATAAAAAATATTTTTTTAATAAAAAGAATTAGTTTCATTTTCAAAAAGGTGTTTTTCTTTTATTTTAGCCGAAAAATACTTTTTAAAAATTGTAAAAAATTTAAAAATATCATATTATTTGTTGATTATAAAAAATTTAATCCTCAAACTTTTAATTGCAATATATTTTGTTTTAAATATTTTTTTTTTCAATTTCATTCCTTAGAATTTGATTTTATATTAAATTTGATTCTTATTCCTATAATTGTTATTTGTTTTTCTCTTTTTATTTTTTTAATTGAAATTTTTTATCCATCAAATTTAATCATCTTTCTTTTGATTATTACTTATTCTATTTCAAATAATTTATAAAATTATAATTATTGTTATTGTTATTTTAATTTCATCATCTTTTAATTTTTTATCTTTCAATTTAATCTCTATTATTTTGATTGTTATTTATTTTATTTGAGATAATTTATAAAATTAGATTTTTTTTAATTTCTTTCTCATTCAACTTTTTAATTTATAAAATTTATTTCTCGTTATTTTAATAAACTTTAAAAAATAATATTATTAAGTTGTTTTTCAGTTCATTTTATATAAAATAACTAAATATTAAAAAGTATTTTACAACTTATTTTATATAATACTATTAAATACCAAAAAATATTTTTCTTTCCAAAAGCACTATTAAATTTTTTTTTTACATCAATCAAACAAACAGTAACTTAGATTCTGCTATTTATTCAAGCACTTAAAATAAAAACCTTAAAATCACGGCATGATAAAAGGACCAAGAAAGGAAGGGGACAAAGAAGGAAGAAAATAAGGTCACGTAGGGGGCAGTCTTGTATAAAAATGAAAAGAGGCTATTTGTTTTTTACTGTGTCAGAGTGGTTTTCATAATTATATTTAATTTATAAAAATATTAAATTAATATATTATTAAATATTTTTTGTTATTGTGTTGTGTGTGTATATATAATATATGTTTTTAAATAAAAAATTATTTAAAAAATACGTGTCACAAGACTAAATTATAGTATAAATTAAAAGATAAAGGAGTTTTCTGTTTATTACTATTTAACAAGACTTATTTTACTGTGATTGTGGATATTAATAGTGAATTTTCCTTAAAGTATACACCCACGAAGAAGAGCTGGTTAGTTGCCTTAGCCAAGCTTCTCACTTTACAAAGTAGTTTGCACCCACTAGGAAGTCCAGAATAGGAAAAGAAAAAGGACGCTTAGCGGACCCACAAAAATTGAAAACACTTGCATTTCTTTTTTATTTTCTTTTTTAAAGTAGCATGGTAAATTTTATATTTTTTAAAATATCATAATGAAAAACACAGCATTCAGATAAAAAAAAAAACACAATTAAAATAAAAGAATAAATCTAGACTATTTTTCTATTGTGTATCACATTTATGATTTTTAACCTTCAAGGATTTTAAATTCTGTTCGGTGATCAGTCGGGCTCAAGAAATTTGAGTAACAAGTTTTAATTAAATCACCTGAGTTAACTTTAATTTTTTAATAAATCAAAATAATATTTTTTTTAATTAAAAAATAACAAGTTACAACCATATTTTTAATTAAAAAAAACAAGTTACAACCATATTTTTTATCAGTTTTTTCAAAGTCAACCTGATCATCAAGTCACTTAATTTTAATTTATTTTTTTAAAAATCCAGTTTGATTTTAACCCTGAATCTATCATGTCCTAGATTGACACGTGAGGTGAGGCAAACCAATTTTTAAAACAATGATATATATGCAAATTCAGCTATCACAATTCTCAATTTTAAATTGAAAATGCTAAAGAATTCCCAATTGGTAGCAAATAATAAATGTTAAGCATGACCAATCTTTTTTAAATTAAAAAGCAAAAAATGAACGCATCTACTCTTACAAGAATGGACTCAAAAGGTCAGCTAGTCCGCCTAATTAAATAGTACTGTTACTGTAAACTACTAGGAAATTCAAGGAAAGCTAACAATAGCATTGATTCGATCAAGTAAGCTCCGGTGTCTAGAGAGGACCTTGCCGTTAAGGAAATAACCATAGAAACTATGGAGCCCTCTATTTATTAATCCATTTCTATTTACTACTTATTACTATTTATTTATTTTCATTTACTATATTTTTGTTTGTGATACCAATAAAATTTGAGATTCCTGCAATTTCTTAGGTGCATGGTCTAGTCTAATGGCTTCATGTACAAAATCAATGCTTAGCTAGCATTCGATTATTATTTTTTAATGAATTCATTTTTTATTTAAAATAAGAAAAAGGACATTGGTGAATAAAATATTTCCTTCCTGTTATAGTTGTTAGACCTTATAAAAGGGCTCATTTAGAAAAAGATTATAACTTATAGGTAACCAGGGCCGAGGTCAACCTGTGATTAAGTAGATCAATTTAAATTAATTATTTTTATTAAAATGACAATATTTTAATTTTTTTGTTGATATTAATTTGGTTAATTTTTATCAAATCAAATTACTAAAAACTTAACCAAATCAAATTTCATCAAATCAATAATATATTAAAAATTCAATTCAATTCTAGCTCTGAACCCTGAGTTTTGTTTGTTCAATCTAGCCATACAGGTTTAACAAATATGCTTCGCACTTGCAGCTGTGGTTTGCTGCGGGCATTTGGTAATTGGGAAAGGCTTTAGTTTCGTACCTGTTGATCTACTTCGTATACACTTGGACCTCTTATTTTATTTTATATCGGTTGGATCCAAACTTAATCCAACACAAAATTAACATATTTATTATTTATTTAAGATAAATGATATCGCCTTTAACATGTTAGCGTACACTTAATATGATTAAATTTAATTTTAATTAATTAACATCTCGCCGCAATAAATTTGACCATTTGCGACCAAAAAACAGTTGATACCTTATTAATATAATCAATATAGTAGAAAAATTATAGTGATTTAAAACAATTCATTAAAATGTTTGTATATATTTTTTAGTTTGTGATGACGGTTTTCATGTTATCTTTTAAGTATTATTGTTGTACATAGACACACGACATGGAGGTTATTTAAAGTCATCATCTAGTTGTTTATCATCTAGTTATTTAGTTTAAAACCACTGAGAAATTTAGATATATTAATTCTATTAAAGATTCAAGAATAAATGATTATTATGACTAAAAAAAAGTATTAACACTCCCAACACATCTTATCTATATAAATTATTTTGTAATTAGATGTGGTTTAGAGATTTTAATAGTTTTATGATATATCTATAATTTAGGATTGAGATTTTCTTGTATGAATAAATTTGGTGTTTAATAATTTATTACGGACTCTTGTATTAGATAAATTTTTAGAAAAAAAAGTTTTTCATAATTTGTGTATTATGGTAAAAATTACTCTCAATAAAAATTCATGAATATTTAGAATAACTTAAAGGATTTTCTGACCAACTCCAATATTTCAAATGAGGCTAGATATAGCTTTTTATGTCAAGATTTTTAACCCTTAATTCTCATTAATTAAAAAATAATAGTTTATTAAAATATTAATCAAATTCACATTAATTTAATAAACTAGTTATTAAATTCTAAAATGCATATTCATCTATAATATTTTAATTTGTTTTTAAATAAAGAATATTTTTAAAAAGTACTGCCACAGTACCAAAATATAGTATAAATTAAAAGAGAAAGGAGTTTTCTCTTCATCACTATTCACTTATATTCATTGTGGATATTAATAGTGAAGTTTTTGAAAATTTTCAATAATTTGATACTCAATTATTTTTTTTCACAATTGAGCTCT